GGAAGACATACAGCCATACGGCGAAACTTCTTCTGGTTTCTTTCAGACCGTCTCTGTTTGTCTTTTTCCTCCCACTCCTTGTTCTTTTCTTCTTTCTTTTTCTCCAGGCGCTCTTTGATCATGTCCTTGAACTTCTCAAACTTCTCCTTGATCTTCTCCTTGATTTTGTCTTCGTAGGTTTTCTTCTTGTCCTCCTCACTCACATCTTTGTCTCTGATGCATACTGTCTTCGTGGGATCCGACTTCATGAGCGGTGGGCACTTGATGCATTTGGTCGGGTCGGACGGGTCTCGAATCTTATTCTTCTTGCATCGAGCCTTTCTTTCACAGCTCTCTCCATTTCCCGCTTGTCTGTTAACTAAGGGAAATCGAGCTTCGCGGCCCAGCACGGAGCCTGGCTGTGAGATATCGAGATCGGATGCCGTACCACTGTGGACACGTTGCGAAAGTAAAGTGGCTTCGCTGGGGGTATACGCGGCGATCAAATGATTCGTTAGGAGGAACAGTACTTTGATGGTCTTTGTAACATGCATGATGAGGGATTGGCAAGAAGCTAGCAGTAGTGTAAAGGTAGATTTTGATGTGAACTGAGAAGGACTCACGTCGATGGCTTTCTTATCAATGTACCTAGGTAAGCTGCCAGCCTTTCTGATGCTGTGACTGCTTGCGCAGGGCTAATCTAATTTGAGTGACGAAACAGTTAAGATACGTGGCGTATCCTACGATTGATCATATGAAAGGTATGGGGCTGCATCGGACGGCTCAACCTCTTCGCACGCGATACGTTGCCTCAACCGTTGGCGAGGCCACTCTGCTCTCTACTCAGACATCCTGCCACATGATGCACACTGCCACGAAAGCGACGCTGGGGCGGGTGAGCCCAACACAACGAACACTGCCTTCACGAGGCACGGATTCTGCCCTGTGTAAGAACCTGTGGGGTGGAAGCTGCCTATAGCCCCCAACCCACATAACCTGGCCGAGACCTCTATGGCCGCGCTGTGCAATCAAACTTCTCGGCCTGGTTCAGGCCTCATCTTACATACATATTTTCGAAACCAAAAGTGCAGTCTGACACCTGGGCAGTCTCGGAATTTCGAACTTGCTATATCGAGCGCCACATGCTTACCTACGTACAGTCGATCAAGGAGGACTTCTTTGCTTGTTTGGTTGCCGATGCGAAAGACATTAGATTCACCGTCTAATCACGGTGGGGAAGTCTTGCTAGACTAAATACATGAACAAGGAGCTTTCGGTCACTACCTAGGTAAGAGTTCATCAGCGTATAGTTTGATATGGAGCGTTACATTGAAGCGAAAGATCATTACACGAAGCAAAGCGTCTAATCATATCGCTACATTTGCGGCTATAACCATCTGGCGCCTAGACTTCATGATCAAGCTTGCGGAAATCATATCGCGCAGAAACTGATACATGTGGATTGCCAGCTGAACTAAACAAACACCCTTCAAACTCAATCTAAGCAAACAATCGCAATTTCATTCACTTCAGCTCCGGAGCTTCCATGCCATCGACCGACCACAAGTCCCAGACTTCATAACTTCCATAGTTCCCCACGAGGCAGCCATCGTCGCCATACGCCAAGATATCCGAGGGCTTGCAGTCGTCGCCATTGAAGAGGACGACAACGGAGCCAAAATCTTTGTCACCTTCACCTCCGGCTTGTTCAGTTTCATTGTGTTCGATAATGATGGCTGCAGCTACCCCAGCGTTGTCGCGGTTGCAGCCAGTGCTGGCATCGACAACTCGCCAGCCAAGGTTGGCACCGCGGCAGCCCGCAGATTGACTATACGCCAACGCCAAAAGTCAGTAGTTGTCACACATATGGATTATGGAAGGCGATGACTTGCTAGTGATGGAGGCGATAAGCGTTGGCTATGCAGACCAAGTGCTGGAGGAGGAAGAATGCCTTCATGTTCGAATTGACTGTGTATGTGAAAGAGGTGTAAGAGTCGTCTTTGATTGCAACGATCTTTACAGTGAGGATGAGCGGTGGATTGCGTTTGATGCCTGCTCAAGAGTAGATCTGGGCTGTGAAGATTCTTGAAGGATCTCAAGGTACGTATGTAGCCCCAGGACAAAAGGCATGGGTAACATCGCGTGGCTCGTAGCGCTCATGTGGTTAAATTTGGCAAGTAGTTGGACATGGCATCTATTTGAGAGCATCCCTGTAACTCCTCAGTATGCAAGTAATGTGGGGTTTGGATCGGAAATGAGTATCCGAAGATACCGCACCGCCTTCAGCTCAAGCATTTGGCCCGTGGGGGCACTTTTCATAACCGGGGGCTGGCCCCGTGGCTCTCCCGCAGCGGCACGGCCGCCGTCTTACTCTTGCGTCAGAGGGTTTCGAAACTTCACGTCTTGGCTTCTTACGAGATCTCCATACATGCATTGGAAACATTCTACGCAGATAGCCTGTGCCGCATTTATATCAGCAATTACAAATCTTGACCCCGGGAGGTACTGCGTATAGTCCTAGGATCGTGGAATGACTCCGTGCCACTCTATCGCCCCCATTCTGTGCTTTTGTCGGGGATCCTGGAAGCCTATGCCTCAGCTTCTTATGACATCTTCATGCATGCAGTGGGAAGTTTCGTATCATCATCCGAAACGTAAGGCTGACCTCTTCTTGGTCTTACTGAAGACCGAGTGTCGGCGGCTCCTCATATATGCTGACCAATTTTGGCCTTTTTTCAATACTGAGCAATCGCCTTTCGATGACAGTGCCTCATAATGCATCCGATACATTCGGAACAGGAAGTTTGAGCGTCTGCAGAATCCATGCTGCCAATTTGGTCGATGAGACAAGCGTATAACAATACGGCCCCAGGGTGTTGTGCTACCTAGCATATCTCTTATTCGCCAGAATGGAGAAGCGGAATCGAAAGCGGGAATTGGCCAACTACTTGACCGCTCCGAAGTTCAATGACAGGAACAAGTAACCAGATCAATAGCTGGTTTGAAATCAATGACTAGGTACAGTGTAACTACCATGTAGTTTGCAAACGCGTAGGAAAAAAAACGCCTACTCTTCCACAGCACCCAGCTCTATCACTAACCTCATGAAGGGCTTGAACTCCTCTGGCATCCAGCTGTGTAGGTCTTCGACATAATGCCGCGGGACTTTTGCCCCATGCTCTGCAAGGTATCGGATCATGTCATCAGATTTATCGTACATAGCCATCGCTAGTGCTCGTAATGGGGCGGCTCGATGCTCACGGATGTCCGTGTTCCAGTCAGTGACATCTTCGTTGACATTTGCACCCGCTTCTAGCAACATCTTCAGAGTTTCCATGTCGTGCTTCTTGACTGCTAGCTGCAGCGTCCCCGAGTCCTCGAACCAGTCGATTCCGAATCTGTCCAACAGGACTCGAATTGACGCAGCCTTCGGCCATGGCTGTTCAAAGGGTGCAAAAAACATTCCTCGGAACCTGCTCACACTTCCTCCATGGTCTATCCACCAGCGAGTGGCGTCAGGTCCCATGCGAACCATATCACACCAGGTTGAATTATGCGTAGTTGAATTGTAGTTTAACTGCTGTGGGTTTGTGCGCCATTGGCAAAAGTCCAGGTCGAACAAGATATCGAGCCATTCCACACCGTTTTTCCCATACCAGCCGCAAAAAGTGTAGGAGTCGAAGTAGTTGGGCGAAAAGCCGATCTCGAAACAGAAACGGAGTAGCTGGGTGTCGCGTATTTCTGATGAGATTTTCATGAGAGGACGGGAATAGTATACTGGGTCTATGCCAGAAGATTCAAGAAGTTCTCTGATGGCAGGAATGTCGCCTTGAAATGCACTCAGGAAGATCGAAAGGATGATGGTTGTATCTACGAACTCGTGTAAGCAGTGAGACCCACAGCCGGTCATTCTGCATTTTGATCACACTTACCATCGTCTGTGGGCGGCTCATAGTTCTCGCTGAGCAGTAGATCTCGTACTTCTCTCTCGAAGCCCCTCAGCTTCCATGCCGTTTTGTCGGCAGACTCTACCGTAGATTTGGGAAGCTTGTAGTAGGCCACAATGTGCCGCAAACATTCTTCCAACGTTCTCTTGCCACTCAATCTCGCATTGCGCGCTTCGCCAAAGCTGGAGAGAGTCGTTGACATTGCGATCGTTATCAGCGATAAGGCCCACTATGATGCCTAGGTATGTGAGAAACGCAAATCTTGGAAGTGAAACAAATTCAAGGCTGATCGGATCCAGAAGGTGGGAAAGAGGGTGGGAAAGAGGGTGGGAAAGAGGGTGGGAAAGAGAGCAACGATGATCTGTGTACTTTGAGCGTAAACGTGTACTCAGGGCTTCTACAGTTGATGATTTTGAGAGGTGTGCGGGCGGATATTAACCTGAGGGTGGCACAGTGACGCTAGTGGATTCATAGCTAGCGGCGTACACCTACAAGCGCTCATTCGACATCGGCTTGATGTTGCCTAAAATGCCAAGGGTGGCGCATTCCAACTTTGGAGGTACCTAATTAGCCCAGGCGGACTCAGGGCAATGACGTTCTATCTATGTTACTACCCGATGCACGGAGGAGGCGTCGCGCGCAAGAATTTAGGGAGACAGAAGAGGGCTGTTTCAGCCCCAAATCCCGATATTTCAAGAATCATGTGTGTGACACCTCAAGGTCGCGTCTCTTGGTGAGCATTGGGGGCTGTAGGGCTTTGCGATACCTCCCTAGGTAGGTAGGATGTGTTGAATCTTCTTGAGATGTGGCCATGTACCACGGGACAAATGCCTGTCTTTGTTTCAACGCGCGGTTGCAAGGCAGATAGTCAAACTGGAGTTCCTGTACTATCAAGATACCGTGGCTAAAATTATCGACACAAGTCTCGCTGAAATCCTTGCTGAGAACTAGGTATATCTTCTCTCAACTGCTATCAACATTGGATGAACGTACACTGAATCAATACATATCGCCTGGACTGTATCATTCCTTACGTTACTGCGTATATTTTCATTCTGCCATCGCTACCACGACATGAAGTCCACATGGCTCACTATCCTGTGCTGGACTTACATCCGGCGGTCCACATCTTTCCCTGTCGATGACAGGTCCGTATTTACACCATGGGATCTGGCGAAAAGAGAGATCGAAGCAGCTATCTTCTCCAATCCTCTGGGACCCCAATTTGGAGTACCTGATGAGACGTGTCGTGGCAGGCTGGAGGGCGACAACACCGGTAGTTGCTGGAAGATGGCAGATGTTACAGTTGATGTGAGTAGTTTTCCCGTCTGAATCTGTTTAATCCAATGACTAAGCTGTCTAGAAATTCATCGCAAACCGAAAACCCGAGGCCAACGAATGCGACGTGCCCTGCCTTTTCTACACCTCGAAACTCACTGGAGCGGCAGAAAGGCTGGCCAACTTTGTTCTGAAGGAGGTACTTTTGACGGGGGCTGCGGAAGGACCGCGCAAGTATCAAACTATCTGGGTACGCCTCGCTAAGTAGAGTACGACCACGCGAAAATGCTAACTACTCACAGGAGCTACATCCGCCAAAGTTCTATCCAAACAAGAATGACCTCGACAAGACTCCCGAGGCCAAATGCATCTTCCAGGACTGGACGCAAGATGACTATGAACGGAACTTCGATGGCTGCCAACGGCTATACTTCAAGTCAATGTCGAAGGCCATGGCAATGGAGTGCAAAGGCGAGGTCTTCTTGATGACCAATTCAGATCTGAGCGGTACTCGCCCCAAACAAGAACAACAAGAAGAAGAAGAAGAAGAAGAAGAAGAAGAAGAAGAAGAAGAAGAAGAAGAAGAAGAAGAAAAAGTTCCAGTGGATGGAATTTGGTGGCAGGTTGAATTTCCGACACTGATCGATGATGCTCGACCCGCGGACAAGAAAATCACAAGAGTCAGTCCAAAGTCACGCCTTAGACACCACTTCATGGATATCTGGGTTAACAGTTCCTATAGATCACTTATCTTCAAGTACCTTTTAGGGACCCTGGAACGCTAACTGCAGAAGAGAGAAGCAAGCCCCCCAAGATTGAGGCGAGGGGGGAGTATTGGCCTAATGGAGTTGGCAACAAGCATTTGCAAAGCTTTCGCAACGAACAAAGTCCGCAATCGACGCCGAGCCCGCAATCAACCCCCACTCCCACCCCCGAGGCAGCCAATCCGGTTGAGACCCCTTCCAACGGTCTTGTCAGGAGGGCAGATCGGACAGATGAAGAAGTCCTTGAATCTGATGACGAAGGTTATCCTTATCATTACTCTATCGATGAGATCTATGACTGGTACAAGGAAGCAGCGTGGTAGAGGCTGGGAAAGGAAGACATGCAAGAAGATCGAAATTGGTTTGGTGGAAGGCCGCGACACTACAACGATTTTGCTGAGTCTCTTATTCCTCGAGTGGTATCTGGCGATGTAACTAGACTTTCCATATCTTTTTATCAGCTGGCGTTTATTGGTACGTGAATAGATTCGATGTCTGCAATTCGCTCAAAAAGCCATGTTAAACCCGGCTCAGCCTATCACATTGCACGTTGGCGTGCACCGCCACAAACGCCACGTCTGCATCTATAATTGACAACCGGCTGAGTGGACGACGCGAGCATCTACGTGTCAAGTCCACCGCGTATAGCGGGCATAGTCGCTGGGTGACCGAAAAAAGTCTCCAGTATGTGCCCGACGTACGACGGGTCGGGGCGATATGGCTGACATTGCGGGGTGAGCGGAGGCTTAGCTTGGGAAGTAGATATGTTGCACCAGCTATAAGTAGGAACGCCAGCACTATCGACACCAACCTTGCAATCTTTACTTCCTCTTGTTCGACATATACCAAGCTTTCCAGCAAATCTTGAATCCTTGGATCTCCACTCACAATGCCAAACATCCGAATCGGCCCGACATATGAAGGCCGTGCTCAAGGACGCATGTTCTGGTCGCCTGCAGAAGAAGGGTCATGCGTGCGAAAAGTGAAAACAGTTCGTCGGAAGGGCATCGATGAGGGACCTAACGGATACCCGGCGGTTGCAATCTCGAGACGAGCGGAGGAGAACAACCTGGTTTACCCAAATCCGGACATCTCGAGCACACGCTCTTTCCGGCTTAACCAACGTCTGACAATACCAATTTCGGCAAAAGGTCAAAATCTGGATGAGCCAAAACGTAGTACTGGAGACCTGAACCTTGAGCGCATAGTCACGTCGACACAAGCCGTGCGGAGCGATGATGTTGGGAGGGACGCCGCTCCACAAAGAGCCTCGAAGAAGTCGTATGAACATTCCAGAGTTCTCCAGTCTCCTCAGCCAGATCTCGAGGTGGCAGGCGTGGAAGTCTGTACTAGCCGACCCGAGATATCTTCGCCAGATACCACAGCAGATACCACAGCGCGCAACTCTTCCATCGGGGTTGAATGGTTGTCGTTCGACCATATGATAAAGCACGTCGCGGCAGTATTTGAGGGGAAAACGACGCCTATAAAGACTGTTGTGAAGCGTCCGTTGGCCCGGTTCTGGGTTGATGCAAAAGGTGTGATGGCTGTAGCTATTGCGTCGATGTAGAAAATCGGAGTTGCTGCCTAATGATGAAGTGTCTTGTTCACACGCTGGACTCTTGGTGAGCTTGAATCCAAGCAATAGCGTTACACACACGGTCTAGTGCTATTGGTCGCCTGTTGGTATCCTTTAGGTCTTCCCTATAGGATACGAGCAACTGGTAGGACGCTGAAAGCTCCTCGTTACGCAGCGCCAGAATTGTACGTATAAATATCCAAAGTGATTCTTGTTCGGCTTCGAGACTGATTGCATAGTTCAGTATATCGCTCACCAGCTCCCGTTGTAGCGATGTAGCTACGATAGGCATCAGATACAGTAGGAACGACCAACCGGAGATATCGCTTGGGTGTCTGCAGCACCAATCCTTGACGCCGTGGGCGACATGGTCAACCATCTCGCTGCTATCAAGCTTAGATACCAGCCTACGAGCATACTGCCAAGCGTGGTAGTTCTTCGGATGCTGCTCTCCAGACTTGTAGATAGCGGCGAATTCGCTCTCCCAAAAAGTTGCTATGTGCTCTTGCGATACATCTCCCAGTTCTATGAGTCTCAAAGAGTCCACGATGCTGAAGCGGTGGTACCACAGGGTCGGTGACTTGGACTGACGATGAAGTGGAGAGGTAAGTATGCTGTTCAGAAAGCACAGCTCTTGTCGTAACGCCCTATGGTATGGGGTTCCAACATGAAGACCGTGAGCTTCTTTTAGCTGGAACAAGGTACGTTTTCGATAATTTGCTGCAGTGAGATGCTCTGGGTCGAATAGAAGCATGACCTTTGTCGCTTGCAATGTCTGTGCAGCCGTGAAAGGATCATGTGCCTTGCTATGCACGAAGAAATGTTGGCGGGCTTCCAGATATGCTAACGCAAGTATCTTCTTCGGCACTCCCAGACTCATTCCGTCTTGCATGGTGATGCCATCCGGTGGCTGTATAGCAGGAGGTAGAATCTCGATCTCGATAACTTCGTCTGCATGCTCCTGGAAGTACTCGCTCAACGAAGCAAAAGCCAGCCTCTGGAATTCCTCTTGCTGCCCGCATTTGGCCGTCATGGCGGGAGATCTGATTTCGTGGGTTCAAAGTGAAAGCTGCGTGGCTGCCCAGCTGTCGCAGAAGGAGGACCCTTGCGCACGACCCCACCGCGTTAGCTTGCAGCTCCCAAAACCGCCTGGGCACCATGATGACATAACCCTTGACTTCAACACGATGCAGTGAGAACACGCTGTACCGCGATACTGGTCCCCATCCCTCAACATGCCGTCTCTCCTCCTGGTTGTCTTCACCCTGCAGCTGTTGCTCCACATCATCAACACCGTGGGTGCATCCACGGTCAACGACCTGGTAAGCCCCGCATCCGAAAACAAACACGCAGGAACCTGGGACTGACACATGGCAGCTATGGATCCTGTACAATAAGCTGCCGACGCCAACATCTGGGTCTGCGCAGAGATGTCAGGCCCTTAAGAAAGACATTGTGCGCTTGAAGCGCGAGCTGGGCAACACGTCGCCTCAGGACAACTTCTCCAAATGGGCCAAGCTCGACAGGCAGCACAACAAGGCTATGGCTGAGTTCCAGAAGCTAGGTAAGCGCTCCTGCGCGGAGACGCTCCCACCGGACACGTCAAGTGCACTTGCTAACGCTCTTCTCTCCAGATGGTTCCCTGCGCTCGCACCAGTCCACCTTCACTTCCGCCGTCTCGACCCTGCGCTGGCTTGGCACCCAAGGCCTTCGATTTGTTCTGCAGTTCTGGTTCTCCAAGTCGCCAATGTTCTGGGTACCCGCAGGGTGGGTGCCATACTACGTCGAATGGGTGCTGAGTTTCCCGCGCGCACCTCTGGGAAGCGTGAGCATAAACATATGGGGTATCGCGTGCGCAAGTATGATCGCGCTGGCAGCAGAGGCAGTAGCTGCGGTTTGGGTACTGGTCATGCGCAAACCAACACCTGTGGCGGCAGAGAAGCAGCGCGAGAAGCACGAGGCTATGGCCTTCAGCGCAGACCAGAAGCCCGCAGAGAAAAAGGAACTGTGAGCGCGCTACGTGTCCGATTTCGCGTGTACATTTCATACAACTTCAAATCAAGTAAAAATTCAATATGTCTCCCAACAAAAGACGCAAAGTCGTCGTGGCTTTCGCTCAGACACTGCAACACGAGTGGGATGATCTTGGCAGATCCTTTGGCTTCTTCTAGGCTACAAATTGAACTCGTGATCGTGGAGAGTAGCGTATCACCGAGTCTTCGAAAGAGCCATCTACTAATCTAGATTCCTTGACTAACATCCTAAAAAGAACGACGCGGTGCACGGCAGCTGGCATGAAGCTGCATCGTCCGACCGCATGCGTATAATTTCGTTGGAAGCGAAGGGTTTTGTTTGGTGTGGAATGCTCGCACAGGAAGCTTGAGAGGGAGAAAAGTGAAAATTACGCGCTAACAGCTCGCGGCCCGACAGTGCCCCCGAAGAGCGCTTACCATATTTGGACTATCGCGTCTCGTTGGCACGTATAGACAATGTGAAGAACTCCATGACCTTGAGGAACGAGAAACTCTGCGTCTGAAAGTCGAAGGTTGCTAGCTAGGAGTTCAACGGAATATTTGTCTATAGCTAGGTCACCGACTCCCTCCCTCGGATCATGTCACGTGCGTTCAGTCCGTGCCCGAGGTCCAGGACTGCCCAGGTGACCGGCTTGAAAATATCGCAGTGTACATCTGCCGTGTGTCGCATGTCGTCGATCGTGCCTTACATGAACATGATCGACTAATTTGGCCGTTGATCACCACCATTCAATAGCATACATCCTGGTTTAGCTCTGTCAGCTACGGTGTAGTCGCTTGGAATGCAACACGGGACGGAGATGGGTGTCACCTTGTGTCGTGTGCTGCTTGCCTGACCGCACCAGGTAGAAAGTCTGCCGAAAACGAAGTGAGTCAGCCTCCGACTCATTGTCGTCGCGTTTCAATGTCCTTTGACAAGGCCAAGCGAGGGGAGCCGCCAAAGTCCAATAATGAGGCTCTACCGCGTCCTTGTGGGTCTGTGCGCATCTTCCCCATATCCGCATGAATGGTTCAGCGCTCGCCGGTTCCAGGCCGATCCAAATCTGGCTGTCATGTGTGGATGAGAGTTCCCCGCAATGTGGGATGAGATTGCTAGGTGCAGTGATCGCTCAAAGGTTGCGCACCTCGCTCTGCTTACGTGCACAGGGCTTCAGTAAGGTTTGCAGAGGTGTAGATAGCGTGTGCTAGATGTTACGCTGCAGAAGACGTTTAGTGCACGCCTATAAGCTTATTAATTACTAGTCTATAACGTAGGTGCATGCTTCGTGGGTCAGCATGCTTCGTGGGTCACCTGTGCCAAGACCCCACTAAAACTACCTCTACCCTATAATGCCCTATTAACTACACTAGATAGAACTATTAAAGGAAGCTAGAATATAGACTGCGCTTTAAGCTATTAAACAAGACGCGACTCTTCTATTGCAACGCGTCGCAGCTATCTATAACGTCCCCTAAGAGACATTGCGCCGTCGACGCGCTAGACAACCTGCATAGGCAGATCGTAGGCCAATAATAATGAGTTTACACAAGACTAAGAAGGGAGTAATTGTTTAGCACATACTTAACCTAGTTAAGCGAGGATTCCCCCCTCGCCTCGCAGATATAGCTAATATAGCTAATTCCTTGCGCGCTAAGCGCAATCTAGCCCAGGTTAGCCTAAGATAGCCTAGTACGTTTGTTAAGCGCCAACCAGAGCTCTAAGTAAAGTTTA